ATGGGAGGAACAAGAGGATGAGACTGGCACCTCCCTGAGGAATTCACACTGTTGTGGCTGGAGGACTTTTGGGAATGGAGGTTTAGTGTGGGGAGATTCTTGCTAGAGGTTGTAGCTAACAAACATAGCTGGACTGAATTGGCATTGTCTCTTGGAGTTCCTTGGGCCAGGCCTGACGTAATCATAGAACCACAACAAGTTCCCTTGCTTTCCTAGCTGACACAGTGGGCAGTGAAATGTTAGTGTTGGTTAAAACACAGGAGGAAGGAATGGCAAGGAGCTACATGGAAAGAACAGGCTTGTCCATCTTGCTAAGATACATATATAGAACCCTCATTGGAAAACGAAAGCTAGAGGGCATGCAGTAGAGGGCAGGCCCACCCCAGTCTCCCTGGATTCTTGCCTGACTCTCTGATCAGATGGAAGGTATACTGGAAACACCTCTAGCACAGGTTACTCATGTTAAGGATACTTTGATTCCATCACATATATAGAAGAGCACCTTTGGAGAGTGGCCATTGGCATCTTTCAACTACCCAGAAAGACTGAAGCAAAAGGTGAATTCTGGGTGGTCCCTTCCCTGCTCCTGTTAGAGTAAACGTAGGTATGGAAGATGCTTGAGTGCTATGAAGTAGAGAAACTATTTTAATCATTCAAAGAAGGCTCTTTTTTTCCTGAGAGTTTTCATATCCCGTTTTGGTCCAAAAGCCTACAGCTGAACACAGGTCCTTCCACCTACTGAATATGGGGATATAATAACTATTTAAATTATTAACTATCTTGTAGCACTTTAAAGATGAATGACTTTAAAAAGTTTGTGAATCACAGTCCACCTCAACAGGTCCAGAGGCTATGGGGCAGGGTTTCCATGCAGATCGCAGGACTGCCTGGGAGCCACAAACATTTACATAATAATAAGTTAGCCTTTAACATTCCTCAAAATCTTCTGGAACAGACTAACCAAGCTAGTCCTGTAGAACTTCTCAACTTTTAAAGAGTTAAAGAAAATAATACATGGCTAGATGCAGCTCCTGTTAAATCCCTTTAATTCCTGAGATATACAATACAATAGATATATAATAGATCCTAAGAATAATACAGAGATCACTAAGTAGCAACGGGTATGAAAGCAGATTGTGTGAATTCACAGGTGACTGCTGAAAACTTCAGTTACATATAGGTAACTTACACTGTGGTCTCTAAGACTCATTCACTAAGTAGCTGACTTTTTACCTGGAGGTGGGTCTAGTGCTTATAAGGTGATCAAAGAATTAACTGATACCATGGAAAACCTGATGATGTACATCCAGTGCCCAGTCCTCGTAGAGAGTAACAGATGATGGCAGGACATGGAACACAGGAAAACTGAACAGAAAGAAATTTCCCAAAGGCAGAAAAACGGTGAGGCAAGCAGCATTGGTTTGGATTACTCAAGATAGAAGAAAGGGAGATACTTTGGTTGCAGTCAACTGGGGAGAGATGGTGTGGGGAAATGAGATCTCACAGAGATCCATCACAAAATTTTCTCTCTGAAATAGTCTTAAACCTAAAAAGGATACCAAAAATCATGGTCTGAATCCAGCAAGGAGATGCCAGTGAGATGAAAGATGGAGGGAATTAGCAGAGTGAAGGACTTTCAACTGCAGAGGCCACTGGGAGCCCTTTTTCCCTTCCTCTCCTCCTCCAACGAGGACTGAGGGTGGCATATCTTTTAACAGATTTTGGCCACATATTGAGGGTTTTTCATGCTGACAATGGCAAACCTGCAGAGTCCAAGATGGGATGTGAGAAGTCCTCAACTACTTCTGAGGCATAGTAGCAGCCTGGCACGAAGACAAAGACATTAGCCTCAGAATCTGCTTCTCTAAGAGCTTGCTTCCTTGCTCCCAGGGAGAAGAGCATGCCAAGCCTATTTTATAAATGCCTAGCAGTACTTACAAGAGTCTACTATATCACTTTCCCCAAGATACAAAAAATTGGTGCCCATCTGAGGTGGCAAGTTTGTTACCACAGCACTGAGACACTTGTGGAATGGGCCTTCAGGCCATATGGTCCAGGTCACAGGGAGCATGGACAGGACCAATCCTACATCCTGCAATCCTGCATCCTAAATCCCTCATGTATGGAAAAAAATAATTAAACTAAAGTTAAATATAATAGAAGAGAAAAAAGGGAAGTATTTTAGGAGAACTGATGAGTGCTGTGGCAGCTGAAAAGAACCTGAAGGAATTCAGCAGAAGTCATACCTAGCTATGTGTGCTATGCAGGATTGGGGTTCCTGCCAAAAAAATTTTAAGTTCTAGAACATTCCAAATGGACATACTGAATGAACCCATATTTGTGAATCAGCAGGATCCACAATGAGGAACTCTAAAGCCATTCAGACTGGGGAAGGCTGTTCTGGAACTACATGTTGCCAGCTGTTGTGAAGTTTCTTCTTATTCACAAAGCACACAGACATTTAATTCTTTTGGACTAGAGAAGCAACTTAACCAAAAACTAGAGAATGTTATGAAAAAATAGTGTTTCAGCACAGACTCCAGCTCTTATTGACCATGTTCATTTGATGAAGAAAATCTGAAATGCTGTCATACTGCAATTAAATATTCCCCTACCGGTTCATATAATCAGTTCAGTTGTTTAAAAGCAGGTTTCTTTTACAAACCAGAAAGGACATGTGTATGTGTACACATAGGTACCCACGTGTGCCTGTGCATAGAATCGGTTGATTAAGCAGAATAGCTTCCTTGACACATACAGACCAGGCACCAAGCTTTCCACAATCTTGCAAAGTGCAAAGTAAATGGCCTTTACTTACTAAGTGTGGTTAAATCTTGGAAGAGGAGGCTAAACAGCAATTTTCCTTCCTGATACCACCCTGCGGTCTGCAAATACAACACTTGCTACGCTGGATGTGCAGCAAGGAAGGGCCAACGAGAGATCAATCATAGTCCCCTAAAGGTGTTTCAATGGCCTGGTATATAGCATATGAAAAACTAAAAGGAATTTTGGTGTTATTGACAAGACAGAGATAGATGTACCAGCTCAGGTGACAGTACCTCTAGTGATTTTAGAGTTACACCAGGAAGCATCTGGGATGTACAAACCATCTTCACTTTCTGACAATGTCTGTTGAGATAAAAGGGATCAGATAGTGTTTCTTTGCTACAAGTTTTATCAAAAATATCAGTTTAGTAATTGAGATAACTAAGCTAATATCTACAATACAGTTTTTTTCTTCTCCTTCAATTATACAAATTTAATCAATGTGAGAAAGGAACCCTTGTTCCCCTCTGTTAGTGTATGCAATCATGTTTGACATCCCCATTTACCCTTCTGTTCAAATACAGGATCATTGATCATTCCCTCTCCAATCCTACTCTTCAAGAAGAAGTGCATGGAATACAGAAAAAGACAACCAAGAACAGTTTTATACCTAAGAGTTCTGCTTTGATCACACAAGAGAGCTCAGAAAAGATGAATTTGCACATTCACATACTAATCAAATTCCCATTTTCCTCCACTTTTGTAATGCTTGGAACCAGCTGTCTTCAGGAAACTAAAGGTAGAGAATGAGAGCAATAGTCTTGTACACTATTGCTCCTCTGTTGTATATTGCCACTGAACATTTTTATTTAATAAATGTATAATTTAGTTCCCCTTCCCCAAAATAGTAATTAAAACAAATTAGTCATAACGTTACAAATCATGTGTTTATATGCAAGTTCACCTAAATGTCAACAAACCATGGCCAAAATACTTCAATACGGTTTACCCAGAAGCCAACAGTTTATAATTCAAGAAGTCTCTTGAGCCAAGTTTAGCATTTCTATAGGCATTACCTTTTCTCGTTGTCCATAATGGTCTGCGTACCATACCATCCCATACAAACACAGAAAAGTAGTAACCGCCTATAAAAGTGGAACAGAAGAAAAGAAAAGATGCCTATTGGTTGCTATTTAATTACTTATTTTTAAGGAGATTTATACCCAACCTCTCATGGTATGGTGTTGGTATAATCTGGCTTGTGAAAAGAGACAACAATGACAGTAATAAAAATGGAGGTCTTTTCTACACCAGTCATAAGAGCTGCTAATGTTACAACAGTTTTTAAGTATTGTACACTTTTCCTTGCCTGACCTGGCTTTTACCAGGTAATAAGGCTTCTTATGTATGTGTAGACTTCTTATGTATGTGTAGAATTTATGTTCGAATTCAGTTTTAAAACACTGAAACAAATACAGGACACTATAATGAAACATTTTACATAAACTTCAATATTTTCAGATGATTTATGAGCATTGATTTATAAATTTGCACAGCTAGCTTTTGAAATAAGTTAGTCAGAATCAATGGTGAGAGCAGATTCAAGAGACTATCATAGACCTAGCCCTAAATTTCTATGGCTATGTATTAAGGATGGAGAGTGGGCATTTCAGGCAGTCCTCACTTAACAGCCACAATTGGGACTGGCAACTGTCACTAAGCAATGCGGTTGTTAAGTGAAACATCACATGACCGCATCCAACTTATGTCAGTACTGCCGCAGTCGTTGAGTGAATCACCCACAGTCATTAAGCACAATGTCATATGACTGCTACTTGCAACCTCCTGCTGGCTTCCCCATTGACTTTGCTTGTTGGAAGTCAGCTGTGAAGGTCGTAAATGGCAATCACATGACCACAGGCTACTGCAACCATCATAAATGCATGCTGGTTGCCAAGTGCCTGAATTGCAATCACATGACCACAGGGATGCTGCAATGGCTGCAAGTTTGAGGACCGGTTGTAAATCTACTCTTTCAGCACTGTTGTAAAGTTCAAACAGTCACTGAACGAAGCACTTGTTAACCAAGGACTACTTGTATTCACAATGCTGAGAGTTCTGTGCTTTGAATGCTCAAATGCTGAAGTGAAGAATACTACAGGGAGCCTTCACATGGACAACAATATAAAGGAAGCTTTCTATGCAGATGTTCAAGAAGCAAACCTGCAGATTGTGACATCTGTACTGGAAACTAGAAGGCAAGATCTTATTTCCAGTGGATGGCATTTCATTCTGGTCTCCTGCTGACTTTGATGCTGGAGGGGATATTTGGAATTCTGGAATTATGCTGTGAATGTTCTCATAAAATGGCTACCAGGACGGGATGAGTTTATCATGAGGAAACAATCAGTTACAAAGCACAGATTTATCAGCTTTCAATAGCACCAATTTCTATTAGTCCTGCTTATGTTATTATCTTAAAATAATAAAATTATGAATAGGGCTGTGATTAAATTTTAAAAATTGAGTTGATCATGACTTCTATTCAAATAATTGATTCCCCTATTCATTATAAAAGTTTGTATTTTGGACTGTAGGCTGTTACATTTTTAATTTTTATTCTTATTTATTGTTTTTTCAAGTTGTAAGCCACTGAGAGTCTGCACTGTGGTAAGATGTAAACATGATATATAAATAATAAAGAAATAAATAAAATCTCATATAAATAATATAACAGTTGTTTGTTTTTAAATGCTATGGCAGGGATAAGCAGGTTTTTGCCCTTTGGCTGTTTTGGACTCCTGCAATTCCTATGCTGCCTGGAGCTGAACAGAGCTGAAGTATAAAATACCTACAGGATTGATTGCCTTTGTGCAATGCCTGTTATAGATCACATCATGTCAGAAGAGTCCTTCCCTGCTATGTGACAGAATGAATATTTGATGACAGAACTTGCCATCGTAATTATTTTTCTATATTAAACATTACAATCTTATTAGGAATTTGTCAGCATATATTTAGGGGAAAATCTAGTTATTTTCCCATTCAGCCATCTTAACCAAGGAAGGCAACTGAGAAAGATGCTATTGAGAAAAAAGTGTTTCAGTGCAATGGGACGCCTATCTAAAATAGGTTAGTGCTATCCTAGTAGAATTTGATTTAACATTTACCCATGTCTAAATAGCAAGAGAATGAACCTAGCAGTTATTCCTGGTTATAACAACCAAGGAATTAAAAACAACTTGCCTTAAACAGGCATGTGATTTCTGGGAAGTGTAATCCTAGTACTTCTGCAAGATGCCAAATTAGGAAACTGGTTAAAATACAAATGTTTGCAACATAAATGAGCAGAGACACTTACCACACAAAGAAGCCAAAATATAACATACAATATTTGTGTTTTGGAGAAGAGATCTTGACCAAATTTGATGCACACAATAGCTTCAAGGAAACCAATAACTCTAAAGGGATGACAAAATTAAAATAAATTGAGTTTTTATTTAAACCTATATTTAACCTGATAATCTCCACTTGTTTTTGGCATATTTTGAGAGAGAGTTTATCATTACTGTCATGTTATGAATCAGAAAGCAAGATGTAGGGATCATCCAGAAAGTATATCACAAGTGTTTGAGCTAACACTACTCTTTCCCTTCCCTTCCCCAATATCCTTTCTTATAAGATACTTTATGTTGGCCTCTTTCAAATGTTTTAACTATTTGATGTCCTCTTGCTATGTAATGAAACTAAACTGACAGAATCTTCATATCCATTTTTAAAACCTCTCTTCCTGAATTATCAACAGATGCCAATATAAACAATGTGTTACTTCTCCTGATGATGAAGTCTGCCATGACTGCAATAAATCAAAGGCAATAAAAAACAAAAGTATCAGTATATCTGAGGAAACACCCATATTTCTCTTAAAAAACCCAAAAAACAAATGAAGACAACCTCACCTACAGTCAAAACCCTGAAAGGGGACTGAGAATGTTCAACAACTGTTACATAGAAAATTAAAGTTGGAGAGGAAAAAGCAGACTAGGGATTAGGGAGAATGAGTGTCATGAAATACATCTGGGGAATGGTCAATTGAAATCCTGAACCTGTATATTCCTAATTTGGATGGAGGATAGTTCTTTAAGAAGAAAAATAAAGGGATGACATTTTTAAGGCGATTATTGTTGTAAAAACCATTTTATTCCAGCAACAAGCTGTTTTACTTGACCCTTGGAGATTCATACACAAAGAGATTATAATAATTAAAATGTGAGGTTGCCAATAGCTAGTAATAGGCACTTTTGGTCATGTAGACCAGTATTTCTCAACCTCAGCAACTTTAAGCTGTGTGGACTTCAGCTCCCCCAATTCCCCAGCCAGCTTGAGTTGCTGAGGTTGAAAAGCACTGAGGTACTGTAGAACATTCCAAAGTAATGATTTTAAGAGCACCCTGAAACTATGCGTCTATTCTTTCAGAAGATCTGCAAATATGGAAAAGTAAAAACCTGTCATTCCTAGTGATTTGCAGTTATGCTAGGCTACAATGTCCATAATTCCCACTCAACACAACCAAAGGGAATTATGGGATTTGTGTGAGATAGAGAAAGGGTGTGTTATTGTGTGATTTCTTTTTTTTGGCGGGGGGGGAAGAATAGCTGTTGCAAACTGAACATTAAAAGCAACATGTGAATTTATATATTAATTATTATACAGAATTATAAGCAAGATAAAAAGAAACATGCAGCCAGTCCTAGGAGCTATATCTAATCTAGAATTCTATAGGACAAGAGTAAGACACTAAGCAAGATCATGGTTTTCATTTTAAAAGTTAATAGAACCTATAGTTAAAATTATCTCAGGAAACAGAGATATAGCTGTCAGTAACTGGAGGTGTGCAGAACTCTTGCCTATCATTAAGCCTAATAAAATGGTATAAATGGCAGCATAAATTAAGGAAAAAAACTGCATGATTTATAGGGATCCTAGTTTCTCTTATGCTGTAGTTTAGATTGAAGTTTTATTTTCTTCTCTTTCAATTTGTATGTGAATTTGCAAGTACAAAAGTCTACTGCATCCCTTGGAGCTTTTCTTTTCTTTTTTACTAAAGTACACGTTATAAAAACATAGATTTCATGGATTGTCATTTAACTTATATAGGTAGTCCTCACTTAGCAATTGGGGCTGGCAGGTCTGTCGTTAAGCAAAGTGTTCGCTAAGTGGGAAATCAGGTGAACGTGACTGTGGTTTCCCTTTCTCCACTCCCCCACCCTTTGGAGTGTTCACCTTGATGCTGGGATAATTAGCAAGAAGGGGTTAATTAGCAAGAAGGGAATTAATGTTTGTATTTATATTCATTGGAGAGGAAGGAATTACAAGAAAGTAAGCAGGCACACAATGGGGAATACACATTGAAAGGAATGTGGTGACGCCAGCAGCCTTGAGAGCGCTACACAAACAGCAGATGTCTTCCCCATTATGTGTCTGCTTGTAATCCCTTCCCCTCCAACCTCTTGTAATCCCTTCCTCTCCAATTTCTCTGTGTTGCAAGGGGAGGGAAAAAGAAAAAAAAACAAGCAATTTCTGTAGGCAATCTTTCCTGTGCCGGGCCCATTCCCCGCCCTCCTTGCAGAGTGGAGAGATTGGAGAGGACGGGATTACAAGAGAGTAAGCAAGAACAAACTTTCCAAACTAGAATGGCCAAGCTTATACAGTATGCTAAGCCAAAACCAAACAAACCACCTTATGGCTTAACACAATGTATGAACCCAGCCACTAAATGAGATAACAAGAATTTCAAGATTTCTGTATTCAACAACTTACCCAAATACCCAGCATTGAGTTCCTACTCTTTTGCACTGTGTGTCTGTGAGGTAAGCATAGTACTGTCTGTAACAACAACAAAAACAATGTTTTCAGTAAAACAGACGATGGCATATTTAGTGAGAATTATTTAGCTTGTTGCCTGTAAATTTGTTTTACAGGTAGTCCTCATGTTATGACCATTCATTCAGTGACTGTTCGTACTTATAGCAGCACTGAACGAATGGTACTTACGCCCAGTCCCCAAAGTTATGGCTGTTGCAGTGCCCCCATGGTCACGTGATCCAAATTGGGGTATGTGGCAGCCTGCCCACACTTACAACTGCAGGGGCACTTCAACTCCCACCCGCCTATCAACCCCCATATCTGCTGTTTTGGCCCCATGCTGCTGCCAGCCACCCCAGCGCCACAGCTCAAAGCCCCTGCCACATTGCGCTCCACAGGCCCTGCTGTGCCCAGCTAAGCTTAGCAATCTTCCTCCTGCTACTGACAAGGTGCACTAGACCTGGGTCTATGCAAGACAGCTGCTGGCCATGCCAGGCCTTCTTCTCAAAGCCACTCACGCCATTCTCCAAATAGCACGCCCCATTCTCACAATGCTTCAGAAAGCCTTCAGAAACCTTCTGAGGCCTTCCAAAGCATTGTAAGAATGAAGTACACTATTTGAAGAAGCCTTGGGAAGAAGGCCTGGTGCAGCCAACAGCTGCCTCACATAGGGCCAGGCCTGGCACACCTCTTCAGCAGCAGGAGGATGATGGCTAAGGTCAGCTGGGTATGGCAGGACCTGTGAAGTGCAGGGTGGTGGGGGCAGTGGGGGCTTTATGCTGGGGTGGCTGGCTGCAGCATGGGGCTTGAGGCGCCACTCCTTCGTAGTGGCATTGGGGCTGAAGTTGAGGCCTGGGGGGTGGCAGCAGCCAGCTGAGACTGCTGAAGGCCCTGGGCTGCTGCTGAAAAGTGCCGCTGTGCAGGGTGGCCAAAAGGGCAGAGATGGGGGGGCAGTTCAAGAGGAGGCAGAAGAGGCAGTCCCTTACTTTACCAGGGCCTGGGGCTGGGAGAGACCAAGCCAGGAATGGCTTGGATTGCCTAACGACCGGTGGGATTTGGTTAACGATGGCAACAGGGAGTGCTGGAATTGCCATTTACTCTAAAGTGAATTTTATGGTAAGTGGTCCTCTTATTTTCAGAACACAGTAGGAACTGCCTGCCAGGGTAACTTGAAAATTAGAAAATTGCTATTGGCAACAGGAAAATGGTAGATAATAAAGTAGGCTTCTTTGAGGTTTAAGATAAAATATAGTTGTAGGGTTAGCTTTTAGCAGTGAGTTTTTATGGTTAGTGGTCCATAACTATTATGCATGACCTGGGAGGGAGTATAAACTACTGAATTATTTTAAACTCTTTTTTCCAATTCAGGCAGATTTTAACTGTGGCTTGTTTAAACTAGCACTGGTCCAGTCTGGATGCAACAGAAAACAACGGCTAAATGTGGAAATATTATGGTTAGCATAGAACCAGATTACACAAGCAGGAGGCTTGTTGCTGATTGTACACGTAACACTAAACCATCATTTAGTGTTATTTCTGTACCAGGCTTCTATCTCTACAAATTAAAGAACTAGCTGAAGATTTACAGTGATGAACATGAAACAGCCAAAAATTACCTCACAGTTGGTGCTGTAATAATTCCAATGAAGAGAATCCTACCCCAGCTTAAAGGGTGACTTGCTTGAAAAACAAAGATATGTTTCAAGAAAAAGGTGTTCAGCTCGGTCAGCTAAAAAGAAAGAGGCGGGGAAAAAAATCAATAACATGTTCATCTGGACAAACAAGATGCATAAAGAGCTTATGGTTTATTCCAGGATAATGAATATATACCTAGTTAGTTAATAAATAAATAGCTATTTAGTTATATAGTTAAGTAGTTAGCTAATATATAGTTTATAGGTAATAAACACATATTTATGTAGCAGCGAATGAAGTATTTGCAGTATGTTTCTCTCTATTAGGAGTGAGTGACGAATGAATTCCACAGGCAGAATAAGACTATTTGATTTTAAATGTGTTTAGTGATAAAAGGAAACATTCATTCTTCTCTTTTGTTATTCTAGAGTTTTGAAATTATAGATGTTATGAAACAAGACAAAAATTGGTTGATGTTATTAGTTTTTTTAGCCAGAGGCTAGATTTGTACAATGTGTTAAACCGTGGCTTGTATTAAGCCAGATATGATAAATAAACCACAGAGACTTAGTTCATCCATCACACAAAACCATAAACTCTAATCTACAAACCAGACTCAATGAAATTAAGCAACTGCATGTTTTGCCAATGTGCAAACCTGCTCAGAATGTTGGATATGGCTAGGAAAGTGTTTATGTGACATTAGCTGTAACCAATGAACAGGGCAGGAGATATTTTGTGGGGGGGAAAATATAAAAGGTATCTATCAGTTGAAGTGAAGAGTGTAAATCTTCAACTTTTGTATAATAAAAGTGGGAATAAATACGAGCTTGTAGAAAAGAAAAAGAAAAAATATTAAATCATTTTAGAAAAATGCTGAGTAGTTGCAAATATTACATAAGTACAGAATTGTGACATAGGTAGCACTGGTCCCTGTATGAAGAATTTGCATACTTAACTGACCAAGCTAGCAAACCATCTCACAAGGAGCCCATAATCTTCTTATCTGTTTTGTAAATACATTTCTCTTTTGTTTATCTGAAGAGAATTCTTACACTTAAACCATTCCTCATATGCACATCTATGGCACTTCTGCTTCTTAAAAAATGTATTCATATCTGGCATTTCTGCCTGGAATTCAAGCCAGCATATGATATTATTTCATTTGGTTATGCATTAACAAAACAAGTATAATCTGCTCCCCACAAAACATCAGCCAAGAGGTCCCAAGTCTTCATTTGTATTTTACCTGCCAGATAATCATGAAAAGATATATCCCAGCTACACGTTGAAAGGAAGACTTGGGATCAAACCAGCGAACGTACGTCCAGCTTGCTGGAGTGAACTGTAAGACGGCTCTCTTGATTTTACCTGTAGTGGTGTGAATGTCCCTAAAAGCAGATAAGGAGATCAACGTTGCAGTGTTGCATAACAAACATAATTCAAAATGGCCCTACTGCATTGTGATTCCCAAGAGGGATATTGCAGACTTAAGTCCTTTAATCTATTAAGCAAGCAAACGATTTTCTCAAAAGAAATTTGCTCTAAAGCACTTCTTCACACAAAGGCTTTGCTCCCTAATGTATCAAAGCTGAAAGAATGATTCCCTACATTATTCAGATAAATATTTTACTAAACACTACCGCTTTTTAAAAGTTGTTTTCAAAGAAAAAGATTTGAAAATTCTGAGATTCTAGGCTTTCCCATGCAATTTTTATCATTTAACAGATGTTCTTAGAATTAAGGGTAAGTGAACAAAAAGCCACCAGTGATGACATCAATGTCAGTGTCAGTACAAAAGGTGTCTTTGTGAATGTTTCTATTTGATTTTTATGCATATGAACATGGTTTCCAAGTAGATTTTAAACCCATATGTGATGTTTCATTTCTATTCTAGAGCAGCATCTTCCAGTCTAGTGTCTTTCAATTCTTTAGCATCCAGCTCCAACTGCACCCACATTTCTGTTCTTGAAGATATGAGATCCTCTGGAGCAGCCACAGTATGGCTGAAGGAAATGCAATCTCCTCTAAATTACTAGGATAAGAAGCTTAGAAACATTCTTTCTTAATGTGTTTTGCTACATCTGGGGCACAAGAATAACTAAGGATATCTACCATTATTTGTTTAGATGTCACAGTGGCATTTGGAGAAATTTCTCCCCCTCACTGCTAGCAGGACATGATCACTCTCGGTAATAAAACTTCAAACACTAATTTGAAAATGATCTTTCTGCATCCTAGCAACTACAACATGAAATCTATTTTACTTCAATCTCTGTGGGATTTTTTGTTATATGGATACATGGCTGTGTGCATAGTGTACAAAGCTGAGAGGTATATCAAGAAAGACTGTCCCGTTTTTGTAATGCTATGGCCAGAGAAAAAAGCAAGGATTGTAACCAGAAAGGCAAATGGATAAAAATGCTCTTACACCAACTTTAACATGGAAGGAAACAGGGAAAATGGGAAATCTTTAAATGTGACAAATTTCCATTTCACATTTTCACCCCTCAGTGGTAATACTTAAGAACAAACAACATGAAACAATTTATTTTCATGCTCCAATCCCACAAAATTAATCACATAGAAGAAAAGACTCCCTCGAGTCCAGCTACTTGGCAACAAATGGAAATTGTTTGCCATTACCATCTTCTGCAATAATTTTCAATTTCTCAATCTAGGCTATATCCTTGAGATTTCCTGGTTGCCTCTCATCCAATTACTATTCAGGTTTCATGGCTATTTAGCTTTTATCAGGACCAGCCAAAATCAGCTAAATGCTAGTAAATTAAAAATTAATAACAAAGGTTCCTCCTTCAAAATTTCTTGGCTTATTCATCCAAGTGAGTCTATAGGTGAGTCCATATGATTCCTAACTCACATTGGTAGACATAACTGGAGAAGTAAGATCATTCTAAATTACAATTCCTAGCACAAAAGCGTACATGTAGCATTTTTCTGTAATATAAAGAATTCAGAAATATGAGCTTAAAGACATCTATTTAAGTGGCCTACAATTAGATTACTCCTGTAATTGGCAATTTTCACCATATACCTGCAGTATGAAACTCTGCAATATAACATCTCATTAAAACAGTGTTTATTAGATGGTGTTTGAGACTTACTTGAAGCTTGCCCAGTGATAGGTCCTCATCTCCAACCAACGGCAAACCACCATGCCCAACCAGATGCCACCCCCATTACATAGCAGGATGTCCAAAATAACTTGATCCCACCAGCATTCAGCAAAATTCGGCAGCAGATGCATGAAGAACAGCTACAGAATACAACAAAGAGAGTTTGGTAAGAAATTCATTCTGTTTCCTTTTAACATAAAAAAAAAACAACAGATTTTGAAAATATGGAAAATACTTTTAATATTTAATAACTGAGTTTGACTAAAGTCCAGCCTATGATTTCAGAAAGAAAGGAAACATTATTTTATTTGCACTTTAAAGATTCTACATTCTAAAAAGAAAATAACAATACTGTATTCAGTGATGCACTGATTTTCTGGTAAAAAGTCAACAGATACAAAATAATGTTACAGACAGTAATCTGAAATATATATACTGTTAAATTTTGTCATACATTTTCATATGGCAGTTATGCACTGATACTTTTGATAGTCTATTTATTTAATGGCCCAATTTAAAGAAAAATGTATTGTATTTTCAATAAGGTTCTGACCTTTTATACATGGCATACCAGCAACCCACTGATTAGCATAGAAAAGTTTTGAAGGCTAGCATCTGTGTAGAACTGGACTTAATCTAATTAATTTCATATAGATTCATGCAGATGGATAATACAGAATAGTGATTAACATTGCAACTCCACAAGTGTGAAGTCCACACATGTGCGAAGTCCACACATCTTGGAGTTGCCAAGGTTGAGAAACACTGCTCTAGAGAAAAGGTTGTAACAAGTATTCAGAAGAAAACATTAGGCACTTGGGAGGGATGGGTCAGAAAATAATCTAAAGGGCCACTGAGATTTTTTGAGACATGTTGGATAAAATCACTTGGATTTGCTCTGAGCTGGAATGTTGAGCTCAGGAGTGAACCTGTTGAGTTGGCCTTGGTGTGATCTATTGGACTATTGCAATGCACTATAACATGGAGCTGCCCTTGAAGACTACTCAGAACTGCAGCTGTACTGGTTGCCAGTAGGCTTCCAGGTACAATTCAAGGTGCTGGTTATCACCTATAAAACCCTTCATGAGATAGGGCCAGGTTATTTAGGGACTGCTTATCTTCCATGGTCTCTATCTATCCAGTAAGATCAGGCAGAGTTGATGTGGTTCTGGTCTCCTCAATCAAACAGTGCCATCTATCAGGACCCAGGAGGCATTCCTTCTCTGTTGTGGCGCCTGCCCCCTGAAATAATATCCCCCCAGATATCCATTTGGTTCCCACCCTGATAATGTTTTCCAAGTTTTTAAAAATCTGACTGTTCTCTCAGGCCTTGGAGTAGGATATTTGTGGAGCCCTGGTTGTTGCAGAGTTTGTCCAGATGCAAAGGTTCCTTTTATTAGTTTTATTTTAAGGGTAAGCTGTCCAGAGTTAGTCTGGAGTCAGGCAGCTTCTAAATAATTAAATAAATCTTGCATGGTTACCTGGGAAGAGCTTGAGTCTGATGATCCTGAGGAAGTGGACAGAGTTCTTGAAACTATGAATGCAACCATCTATTTATGAGATCCATGCCCCTCCTGGTTGGTCAAGGCATCTTGGGAGGTGACAGTTGGTTGGGTCCAGTCAATGGTAAATTCATCCTTGAGTTAGGGGGCAGTTCCACCTGCACAGGAACGCAGTGGTCCATCCCTCCTCAAGAATCCTTCCTTGGACCTGATGGTGCTGGATTATTTCTGACCTGTCTCCAACCTTCTTTTTTTGGTGAAGGTTGTTGAGAAGGTGGTATGCCAATGGCTATAGAGGGCTCTGGAGAAAACAGATTATCTGGAAACCTTTCAATCAGGTTTCAGTCCTGGGCATAGTACCAAAACAGCATTAATCATGCTTATGGATAACCTCTGTAGGGACCAGGACAGGGGTAGTGGACCTATGCTGGCTCTCCTTGATCTCTCAATAGTCTCTGATGAGATATGTAATTGGGTATTGATGATACCTAATCCCATGCTGACAGATGACCTCCCCAGTGGCTTCAGATAGATGTTAAACAGGAGCAAGAAGATAATCAAGCCCTAAGGCACAGCACAAAGCAAGGGCTGAGGGCTGGTCCTCTTCTTTCCTTTCAACACCAACTGGAACCAGCCCCAAGAGTCACTTATGTGAGATAAGTGCCATATAAACTGAACTAATTTATTAATTAATAAAATAAAGACCACCCAGAGGTAGCAGTTGGTCCAAAATGCAATTAGACAGGGCCATACCTCAATACACTCATGTCTCTCATAATCTCTGTCCAATAAGATCTGACAGGGTTGGCATGCTCCAGGTCCCATCCCTTAAAGAATGTCATCTTATGGAACCCAGGAAATGTCTTCTCTGTTGCTGTGCCTGCCTTATGGAACAGCATTCCCCCAAGATCCAGATGATCCCAACCCTGTCTGCTTTTAAGACCTGTTCCCACCACACACACACACACACACACACACACACA